ACATTGACAAATTCGACGAACTTGTAGGGCTCTTAAGCGATCAAGAACCAAATAAGTCAATAGCACTTTCCAAACCAACCTCTTACAATCACGTCTCAGAACAATCGAACTCGAATCCACTTCTACAAGAAGTTGCTCTCTCCGAGCCCAACGAAGCCAGCAACACCATCCGCACAGTCATTTACGTTGCCATGTCACCCGCCAAGTTTGCGTTGATCGTGAAGAGCCCCGGGCTGGGGGGCCCGAGGCTAGACTGCCCAGCACTTTTGGCGGCGATTCCTTTATCTGAACTTCAAGAGCGGTTATTTGAAGTATGCGGCTATTTTTATCATGGAAGGACAATGTTGGACAGCCTAAAAGATCTAGCAAGGGCTTGGAGCACCTTCTGGTGAACTACTGAATGGATGGTTCTTGGTCAACGAAGCGCCAGCGGCGTCATATTCTGGTTTAGCTGGCGCCCAAGATCTTATTCGATTGTATAGAATAACTGGTCAAATGACTCAAAATCAGGTGAGAAGTATGCAGAATATTGAATATCACCCCCAGCCCCAAAGTCCTGCTGGTCCTGAAATGGAGGCAATTGAAGCATTGGTCCCGGATCAGCCTCGGTATGTAACTCGGGGTTGCTAGGCAGACAATCATCCCAGGACTTTGCAAAATCCTGGGTGCCACCATTGTGTCTCTGTTGAACATTCCTATGCGTTGCTGTAGGTTCAATGACCAGAATGCGATCCAGATAATGCTGAACTGTATGGTGCATCTCATCGGCCACTCTCTGTCGATATTTGGTCACAGCTTCGGCGAAGTTGATAAGGATATTATAGTAAAGCTGAGCCTGTGGGCTACTCAGAGCAATGTCTGCCAGAATTATGCATCCGTTCTGGAAGGAGTCCTCGATGTCCTTTCGCGGCTCGCCTGCAAACATGGAAAATCCGAGGACTAGTCCCGCTCCGAATAACCATGCTCTATTATGAATAGTTGTTAGCATGCATTGGCGAACCCGTGGTGATTCCCAAGGTCTACACTCACTCAATCAGACAGAAATTTCCGAAAGTGAAGTTGACGTCTTTGGCTTTGATGCACATGTCAACCATAGTGATTGCTGAGCTCACGCAGACCTGTGATATCCTGGATACCTTGTTGTTTTTGAGCTTGATATCAGATGCCTGATCAGGATCATTAATCAGGTGATCGGGTGCTTTGCCACGTAACCTTGAGGTCAAGTAGGCAACTAGAAATGGTCGTGTAATGAGTATGACTGCAAAATAGTACACGCACGAAAGATGCATGCTTCCCATGAGGAATTGTCGGTCGGCAGGCTCCAAATTGCAGCTACTTGGTACCAAAGACGTAAATTGGCGTATGCTTTGGGGTAAGTTCCGGCTCCAACGGCGAAGTTCTTGGAGTAAGTCTTCGGCGGTAGGAGTGTGTAATATATTGTGATTTTTGCCGAGTGTATCGACAATGTTGTCTAGGAAAGTGCAGGCGTCGACCATTGCGGTAAAAGTTGACTGGGTGGGTTCACTTGCATCCTCACTGTAAGCTTTCGGCTTTACTGCACTCTGACTCTTCGGCAAACTTTTGGGTCTTCCAATTATAAAGCTGCTCAGAATGTCTAGATTCCGCATGCTGTTCCATAACCTCTTCCTGACAGTGCTGTATTAGGATAATTCCTAGAAGTTGGAAACAATTTCTGATTAAAATGCTCACCTAGTGCTCGCTTCCTCGGAGGTCTCATCGTCTTGAGAGCTTTCAAGGTCTAAGATCACGGCAGCCTTGGCCGCAACCGCAAGGAACATTGCCGCTGAATTTCTGTTACAAGCTCCGAGCCCGTAAAAGGCTAGAAGAATAAAAAGACGGATCTTGCCTAGGCTCTGCGACATCAGCATATCCTGGAATGCCATCATACGGGCTCGAAAGAAATAAGCCTCGGAAAAAGGTTGATCATCCTTCAATCCTCGTGCCTGTGCCCCAATAGCCAGAGCAACGTCAAGAGCAGCTGCATCATCACTGTTAGGGAGCGAATGAGTTGTGTTATCCTGAGACAATGGTCGCTCGGATATGAGAATGTCAATTTCATTTGCCGTAAATAGGTCCAAAATACCGCTGGTCTGCCCGATAGATTAGTTATAATGGCTAGCGTACCATTGCAGAGAGAGAGGCACCCACAGCTTCAAAATAGGAGTCCAATAGCGAGTAAAGCCTTGCCGGTGATGGCTGTGGACTTTGGACCCTCGAGCTTCTAGAATCTAATTCTACCGTGAAGTGATGGCGTTCGCCATCGGTAAAAGGAACCGACCCAACGAAAGATTTGACAGTTCTTCTTAGAAAGAACAGGAAAGACAACGACGATGTCTCTCCGACATGGACTAAATTTCTGGTGGTCAGCTTTTGCGACGTTGAAGAGCTTTACGGTGATGCCAGACCTTTTTCACGGGAGGGTGAATTGAGAGTATGCTCACTTTCTGCGACAGAGATCGCCGGGTCCGCCATACTGCTGGGATCAGGAACCCTTGGATCAACAGCAAAAGGAGTGTCTAACGGAAGCGGAGATCCGCTCGGTGATAGCTGTCCATTCGTGGTATTGGTCCGCAACGACGCATCTTCCGGCAGGTTAAGAGCGCGGAGAGCATTGCTTTGGCCCCGCCTTCGACGGTCGACACCTGAATAGATGCAAGAGGCAGTTTGACCGCGTCTGAGACATGCACCGCACGGATCTCGAGCATCGCATCTTATCTTCGAGGCTTTGCAAGCCAGACATGCGCGGTAAGATCTTTGACGGTTCTCAGGGCGTACTTTTGGCCTTGGCATTGATGCTATGATATAGATTTTGTTGTATGGCAATAGAAAAGTAGACTAAGGGGCTTTGGCAAGTTCAAATGAAGGTGAATGACTGGGATAAACCTGGACCGGGGTGCGGGGGAGGAACTGATAGGGGCGAAATGCTGCCTTTCCGGGCTAACGCCAAACTAATGATAACTAAATTGTTACGACGGAGGGTCAATCGCTAATACTAGCTCTTTATGGAAGTCTGACCTATATTCTTTTTATTCTGAAGAACTCTTTTTCTGCCTACGTCACTTCGCATAGACCCACAGCAAGGTAAATAACACTGGGCACCTCGAACAGCTGCTCAAGAATGACTAGAGCAAGACTGCACGCGATATGCCATGAATATTTGAAATTCTAGGTCATCCTACATTTGTAAAGGCACATATGTGCAATTCATGCGGCCACCTTGGCTTGGCTGCCAAAGTTCCTCGCGACAGACTGAGCAAACCACTCGCCAACAGTCATTGGCGGACTTAGTGATTAATATGTTAGCAAAACGATCCTCTAGATAACGAAAGCGCCAGTAGCTTACTATTTTTTCAAAGGGCCTTGCAGGACAAAGTCGCGTCTACCTTGATTGAAGTAGGCGATAGAATATCGAGACGAAGGTTTTCCAACGTCTTTGGCACGAACTCGGTGGAAGTTCGATTTCAAACGATCATCTGACCAAGCCACTTGAAAATGGCGAGATGTGTCAGTGATTAAGTCTCGAGTTCCAATACTTGGTCACTTACTGAGCATGTCGCCAATGTTGACAACAATCGGGCCAGTCTCTGCAGGAAGAGGTGTAAAGGTGTCGCCAATAGCAAAGCTTGTGTGGCTTTCTCTACCAGGGCATATTTCTAAGCCATCTTCTCCATCACGCTGAAATAGGAGAGTGAGACATCCGATGTCGGTATGACTTCCGGCTCTCCATGTGCCAGCTGCATCTTCAGAAGCCGGATAGTGGATCAGTCGGAGCTGCGTCAAGCAGTCTGGCTGACTTGGATCATTCGCAATTTTGAAGTAGTCCTCTTCAAATCCCAGGGCAACAGCGAAACACGATACTAGAGGGTAAAATTAGCCGGATTGACCGTAATCAATCGAGGAGAAATAAGTGTTGACTTCCGCACATACAGACTTGATCAGAAATTCCTGCACATTTGCTCATGAATTCTGTGGTTGATTGTTTGAAATGGGGTACATCTTCATCACTTGGCCAATGCGACTTGCGTTGTAGCCAAAGTGATTCCTTTTGGTCGTATGTGCCTGTGCTGGGGCGCAGTTGAGCCTAACGTGAGGAGTCAGAGAGAGACTTGCCGAATGACGGAAACCTTTCCACCTACTTTGTACTCCCATCCATTGTTGGATATATTATCATGCGGAGTCTTGGCCTTGACCTCGGCAGGAAGATCAAAAAATGCCCTCGAGATAGCAAATTGGGCTTCTATATCTTCTCTCGAAATACCATGGTCTACCAATGTGAAGAAACCAGTATGTTCCGCTGCTTCTATGAGCTGCTGGGTGATATAGTCTTTGCGTTTATCGAAGTCTTGAATTGGGCTGTCAGTGAAGTGGCAAAAGTAGACAACTCAGACAATCTAGTGGCTCACCTTTGAGAGAGATAGCAGGGACCAATCGTTCAGCCATGACTGTAAATGTGACTCGTGAAATTTCTTATCTCGACGACCTTTGTTATTGACTCTCACTGTTTCAAATGATGAAGAGCACAACTGCCATGGGCGCTTGCGTTACACTTTTATCGTGTCAATTTTACCTCATCATTTCGGCAAAGTACTACCGTACTACCTACAGTACCCGTCCATGGGGAAACCGGAAATGTCCCGAAGCTTGCTCCAACGACGAACACGAAACCACAAGACACCCTTCTTCACTACCAAGGACCAATATCTCGGAACGGTTACAGTTCGCCTATGGGTATATGCATGCTAAACTTCGAGATATCCGGTTGTGAACAGTGGGAACCGCAGCTGTGTCTGAGCGCCTATCTCCCTCTCCCCTGCTTATCTGTAGAGTCTTCGGCTATGTACCTCCACCGCTATCAACCAACTCATTTGGAAGCATCAACTTCTTATCATTTGAGCCATCTACGGTGAATAATATATCTTAAGTAATGTTTATAGTACCTAAACTGCGACCACATTGGTACATCTGCCATTGATTCAGACATGTCCCACCCTGAGACGATGTTCGCTAAGGTTGACCTATTGCAAGATACTTCACGTTTGATCCGAAGAGTTGCTGACTGTGGTTTCTAAGAACGATGAACTTGAGCTAGAGAGAGCCGAGGATGCGCCATATGGCGACTATATCAATGTGAAAGGCAGAGACAAGGCCCTGGACTTGCTCGCAAATAGTGCTGTCTCCTTCGACCCCAACTCGCCGGAAGCGAGACGAGTAAGATGGAAAATCGACATGCGAATTTTGCCCATGATCTTTGTGATATACTGCCTTCAGCTTATGGACAAGAACAGTCTGTCATTTGCTGCAATCATGGGAGTCAAAGAAGACACCAACCTAACGTCTAGTCAATACTCGTGGCTAGGCTCACTAGTTTAGTATGGAGCCCATTCTCTTCTTTATGTTCAGATCACAGAACACCATGCAAGTTTACTTACAATAACGCTCTAATCCAGTTTTGGCTATCTGGGTGGTGATATACCCGCCACCTACCTCATGCAACGCGTCTCTTTGTCCAAATATCTCTCTGTTATGTGCATGATATGGGGTGTGATAGTCGCACTTCATGCAGTCTGCCATGACTTTTCCAGTCTAGCTGCAGTTCGATTCTTCTTAGGCGCCATTGAGGTCTCTACAGTTCCGGTGGCTATTTACATCACCGGCGCCTTCTATACCAAGGAAGAGCAAGTCACACGAGTCGCACTGTGGTACACTACTTCTGGATGGGCAGCTGTCTTCGGTGGTTTCTTTGCATGGGCTATTTATCATGCAAGCAGCTTCAGATGGCAAGGACTTTTCGTGCTATATGGGTCCATGACTTTCGTGACTGGAGTTTTCTTATATTTCTTCCTTGCCGCCTCGCCGACCGACGCCAAGTGGTTGACTGAAGAAGAAAAAGTCATTGCTCTTGAGCGCGTGCGAGAGAATAAAACTGGTACAGAAGTTTGGGAATTCAGCTGGCCACAACTCAGAGAAGCGCTATTGGATGTTCGGTTATATCTGATCTTTCTTTTGCTGGTGGCATCGGGAATGCCCAACGGTGGCTTAACTGCCTTCGGTACGCCTCATCTATGTCTTACACGTGGTCTAGAGCTTATTGTAAGCTAACCATCTACGCAGGACCAACAATTGTGACTGGATTTGGCTATGATGTGCCTACAACACAACTTTTGAACATGGGCTCTGGTGCGTCTCAAGTGGCCGGCACATTCCTTGCACTGTTTGTTGCCAAGAAAACTAGCCGCACCTTTGCTGCTATATTCACGCTTTTTCTCGCTTGTGTGGGCTGTGCCATGATGCTTGGTATACCTAGTAGCAACACCGGTGCTCGCTATGGTGGATACGTCTTGGTTTACCAATGTAAGCGATCCCGTCTCCGTCCACCATCTTACAGCTACAGTTCGCTGATAGAAAACGGTCCCCATTTTTATTATATTTATCATCACTTTTATGACTTCTGGGGTAGCTGGGAGTACCAAGAAATTTGCTTTCGGCTGTGTCTACCAACTAGGTTATGCAGTTGGCAATATCATTGGCCCTCAAACATACAGAGCCAAGGATGCGCCCAATTACTATGTGAGTACCAATATCTTGATTGAAGAGAGACCCTAATTAGATGACTAGCCTGCAAAATACACTATGCTCGCATTCTTCATCGTCAACGCGATTCTCATTGGACTTTATGGGCTTATTCACTACACCTGGAACAAGAAAAGAGAAGATCAAGACAGGACACAACCAGAAGGTATTTTCTCACATGATTCTATAAACATCCGGATTTGAGTTTACTGACCTACTTTTGTTCGCACAGATGGGCCTCAGGCCATGGAGAACGAAGAGTTTATGGATTTGACCGACTTCCAGTTAAGGTCTTTCCGATATCCAATTTAGCCGATCAGGTCTTAGGAGCTCCCTGTTAAGTAATGCTATTGTTTCTAGGTTTTGAATAATTTATTGAAATTATGTTAAATAAGCCTTGTCCCCCATTTTAGCCCAGGTCATACTTTCCGATCATCCGGGGCACGCTTCGTGCTTGGCCGCTCAAAGGACGAATAAAATTCGAAGCACCACCTAAGACATGGTGGATTAATAAAGTGAGAAAAACATGTAGAATCATAGCAAGAAAAGCTAGATCTGGCCATTAAAGGACCTATTGAAGCAATTTGGACGGTGATAAGTCCCACTAGGGAACTAACAATTTATAATATACCCACTTTCCCTTTTATAGTCTTCGCGCCCTGGTTCTATAAAGATGATCGGGGGATATAAGAAATGCTACGCTTGGAACTAAAATGATAATGTGTACGTAGTGTGATATTTTGAGATCTAACGTATGGATTTGCCGTATTCTAAAGGTTGCCTCTCATCTCTGTGTATGATTTAGCTACCACTTTTGTCAATTAGGAGGTATGAATGTGTGGTAGAACTAACTAAATCCCTGATTATTCACACATGTCTGAATGAAGGCTAGCAAAGGCTCACTCTGCGAGGTATCCTCAGTGCCAATTGATAGAACATTGCTAATATGATTGTGTCTTTTCAGCACGTGAAATAGAGGCAATGTTCCCACTGGTTTGCTTTTCGCTCGGTACGCGTCAAAGAACTTCAGGTGGGCGTCGATTGTCTCGGATCTATTGTTGAGATGCACTTGATGTTAATTACGTCGTTCGAGTCAACATTTTCCAAAAGGGAATGAGCACTGACACTTCCCATTCAACGGATCCAAGGTAAACGGGGATCTTCTGTGAATTTCTTTGTGACAGTTAAATAACTTATCTGTAATGGATAAAGCCTAATCTCACCGGAACTTACATCATTGGCGAATTTTGTGGCAATGCTTGGAATAACCCTAGTGCAGACTTGGGCTGCGTACAAAATGTAAGCATCGTTCTGTCCAGATAAAACGTTTGGAGAAGGTTGGGATAGTCTTACCCCCCAAACATCCTCGGAATCTGAACCGTAGTATGATCGAATCGTCTTTTGCCGCATCGGCTTTCTCCGGTCGTACCAGAAAGGCACACTGAGATAGATCACTCCGGCTACGGGAGGGAACAGAGGGCGGCTGGGAGTACCTACAATGTTACCTATATGACTTAGCACTCACATTGAAACAAAGCCCTGCGTAGGCTCAAGGCATTGGGAATACTTCTTACTAGCAGAGTAGAGATTCATTGCAATGTGCGCACCGCCGGAAGAGTGACCGAACAACACGACCTTATCAACTGAGCCATGCCCATATATTGCCGATGATATATGGTTATAGATCCATTCGCGTGCCAATTGCATGTCATCTGCCCCGCCAGGGTACTGCACATGTGGGACAAGTCGATGGTTTACCACCACTGTGATGATGCCGTGTTGAGCGAAGAACCACCCGATGTTGGAATATACTTTTTCGGTCCACATTTTGTCACCGGAGAAGAATCCTCCTCCATGTACATACATGACGACTGGTTTTGCTAAATCATCTCCATTTGGCACGAAGACGTCTAGCATGTTTCTTTCGAAAGGTCCGTATCGCTGATCGCGGATGACAGTGACATTGGACGGCGGCTTTGGATAGAAAGGTTCGTATAATTTGCGCCATTTCTGTTTGAATGATTGTTTTCAAAGATTAGTATATCTGTGACAGTAGCTTGCGAACATATCTCACAAACCTCCTCATCGCCAAGTTCAAATTTCGACGTCTCTTCCGCGATCTTCGCGAATACGGCTTCCATGCTCAAGTCAAAAACTCCCTTGGAGTGAAATCCGGAGATGCAGTCGTACAATTTCTTACGGTTCCAGAGGAATGAATCTTTCTGAAGGCTAGATTAGAAGTCACTCAAGATGGTGGTCCGAGACTAGAATCGGCGGATAGGGAACGTAGCCGGATAGAGCCCACCCCATACCCGAGATAGGTGAATTTCCGACAGACTCACGATTTGGGCATCCCGAAAGATTGTCCGATTTATACGAATCAGAAATTAGGATGAATTTGTTATGACCGATATTTGAAGGGACAGACCTGGCAATTTCACCTAGCCATAATTGAGTTCGTCTCGGTCCTTGAGAAACGTAACGTGTGATAATACACCGTTTGTAGTTGCCTTTGGTGTACATCCTTTGAAGAAATGACCAAGCTGACAAGGTATGTACTTCAAACTTTTTGTGCTCAAGGTTGCTTATCCAAATTTACAATATGAAGATCCGAGGTTGGACTCCATTCCACCAGAAAAAGCTGCTGGATCATAATCCACGAGAATGTTTATGACATTACCGACTTTCTTGAAAGGCATCCTGGCGGAGCGAGCATGCTCTTGGCCCATGCAGGTCGCGACGCAACCGAAGCCTTTGAGTCGTTTCATCAGCCCGATGTTATCCAGAAGCATCTGAACTCGGAGTACATACTTCCTCACCATGATCCAATGAGTACAGCTCAATCATTAATGCCAAATTGCAGTAGCTACTTGGGGCCTGTAATACCGGAGCTGACGAGCCCGGAAGTTGCTAAACCACAATTGGCGCCAGGGAAGAAGACGCCAAAACTCTCCTCTATCATCAGTCTGTCCGATTTTGAGTATGCTGCTTCGAAGAAACTCTCTATATCCTCTTTTGCTTGTGAGTGTTGAGCAATAGGTGTTAAACAATGTTAATTAGTGATGCCAGTCCTCAAATCCGGTGCAGAAGACGAGTATGCCTCTGGATGGAACCGAGATAGCTGGAAAGTTATTCGGTTCCGGCCTCGAGTTTTAAGGCCGATCGAAAGCATTGACATATCATGTTCCATCTTGGGCACCAAATTTTCAGCCCCTTTCTTCATTTGCCCAGCTGGTGGTGCTAAGCTGATCAACCCCAAGGGGGACTTATGCTTGACGAAGGCTGCTGGTTACCATAGCATCTTACACTGGACCTGCAACAATGCGGCAGTATCTCAACAGGATATGGCGAATGCAGGGAGACCTGATCAGACGTTATATTGGCAAATATATGCCATGACTGACCTGGCGTTCACCGAGCAGCAGGTAATTAAAGCTGTGAAATTGGGATACAAAGGATTCGCCCTAACTGTTGATGCTATCCGACCTGGAAAGCGTGAGCGCGACTTACGTGCAAGCTCTTTCAACGCCAATCCGGGTGATGCCGAGGAGGAAGTTGAGGTTGGGAATGAGGAAGATGAGGGGTTTAGCAAAGAACCGACCGTCAAGAGACCGTACGTTATCCCATATCTTGCTAGTTTCTCATATGCTGACGAGTATAGACCTGTCTGGTCAAGTTTCAATTGGGTGTCAGCTATCAAATGGCTCCGAGGCATAACCACACTTCCAATTGCAATCAAAGGAATCCAGTGCTGGGAAGACGCAGAGCTTTGTATGCAACATGGAGTCAACCCCTGGCTTTCCAATCACGGCGGAAGGCAATTGGACGGAGCGCCATCTGCAGCGGAGACACTCGTCTCGATCCGAAAACACTGCCCTGAGATCTTCGAAAAGTGTGAAGTTATCGTCGATGGGGGTGTCACCCGAGGCTCAGACATAGTCAAGGCCCTTGCACTTGGTGCTAAAGCTGTCGGTATTGGCAGACCATTCTTGTACTCCCTGGCTTTTGGCGAAGCCGGTACGAGCAAAGCTATTCGGATCTTGAAGCATGAAATTGAGACCACAATGGCGTTATTGGGAGTGACATCCCTGGACCAGCTCAATCCTTCATATGTGAGTGGGCGGCATTCCAATACTGTTACTGCATTGTTCCCTCAGGTTATCGATGCCGCAAGGTCAAACTACGTCTTTGCTAACAGCAGTCATATTGACCAGGTCGAAACATCTTCTTTGGCATATGCTTATGCGCGATCAAACCTGTGATCTTTAGGGCGTCTGCACACTCATTCTTGGACGGACGGGATTGGCGGGAGGTTGTGGAAGTGAGAGGCACCAGAGAAAATTAGAGTATTTTAGTTGAGTCACAAAATCTCAGGAGTCTTTCTTCCTATCCCAAAGATCAGATTCCAAAGACCTCCGGAACTAGATGCCTTCGACACCCAACCAACCAGATCAGTAGAATTCTCGCACGGATTGTCACCTTGTGAAGGCACCTAGCTCAATAACCACGACTAAAAAGCCTTCATATGCCCTGAGAAAGACACACGCGAGAGCTAGGCTTGACCAACCCTGCGCGTCTTTCCCGAGTGTCGTATCGCTCCTCCCTGATAACGAAAAGGCGTCGGCCCGCGCACCGGGTGTAATCAGCCCATCACATACACTTCCTCATCGGACATCAAGAGGCCTGGAACTCTATAAGCCAACTGAGTCCTCAGAGAAAATGTCGATATCCAAGCTCTTGGATCTTATGCCAATCACCTTATCTGCAAGAGTATCACAAACCAAAGAATCCAAACTTCAATCATGCCTCTTCCAAATGCCCAGCCGGTCAAGCTTGCCCCTAACCTGACCATTCATGCACCACTTTCCCGACATGGAGCAGGCCCGGGAATGTTGATTATTCGATCCCCGGTGAGCCCTGATCAGCGGAATGGGGAAAGGAATTTAGACCCAGAGCCGCTCCAAAAGTGGGCCGAAGAAGGGTTTGTCACAGTCGAGATTGAAGTATCAGAGAGCTTTCAATCAATTGAAGATGGCTTGCATCAGGCATTGGGCGCATTGAGCATTCATGACAAGTGCATCAAGAAAGCCTGCTACGGTCTCATAGGTGAGAATGATCTACTGAAATTACATTGCACGAGGTGTTCTGCTAACCTTTCAACATAAGTCTATTCGCCATCTTCAGTCCCGGACTTGACACCCATTATCAATAAAATGGACGAAATAAAAGCAGTCGTCTCATACGGAGCTCTACTGGAACGGACTGAGAAGCCACAGCTCTCCCATCTAGCAGAACGTGGAATCAAATCAACCTCTGAAAATGAAACCATCTACCGATACCCAGAGGTCACGTCTACATCGTTCGTCCTCCCTACGCACAAAGACTTCTCGCCATCTTCGGCAACAGTTGCACACACTAGATGCCTCGAGTTCTTGAAAAAGAAGTTGGATGGGCCTTGGTTCGATCTTGAAGAGATCTGGGAGGAACACACCAGACTTGAATTCGAGGCTCGTTCTGTCGAGGATACAATGAACACCATGGTTCAAGAACCATACGTCAATCATATTCCAACACTCACAGGAGGCATCGGTCGCAAAGAACTGTCTCATTTCTACGCCAACCACTTCATCTTCAACAACCCCGTTGACACCGCTTTGGAGCTTGTTAGTCGGACTCTAGGGATTGATCGAGTGGTTGATGAGTTTATCATGAGCTTTACGCACGACAGAATGATCGACTGGCTGTGAGTTTCCCACCATCGCCACGTTGAAGAAAGGAAAGAAAGTATGACCTTGACTCATTTTCTGGCATTATAGCATCCCTGGAATCCCGCCAACTGGGAAGAAATTACGAATTCCGTTCGTGGCAGTGGTGAATATCCGCGGTGACCGACTTTACCATGAGCATATTTCCTGGGACCAATTGACTGTTCTCTTTCAGCTCGGTCTGATGCCCGAATATCTCCCAATCCCATACAGTCTGCCAAATGGACCGACGCCGCGGTCTGGAGGAACACTGGAATGCCGTGTCCCTGGTGCCGGAAAGGAGACAGCCGATAAGATGCTCGACGAGAATAGTGTTCCTTCGAACGAGATGTTCGAATTCACTGTGCGGTAAACACAAGGATGAAGTCATTAGGATACAGTAGGCGCCGTGGGAAAGTTGCATTTCCAAGGAAATATATGCCCATTGAGATCAATATAATCGATATAACTTCATTAAACATCAATACGCCAAACCCTTAACAGGCCACAATGCACAAGCGCCGGGTATATCAAAGACAAAAACCCAAAATGCTTTTTCTTTTTGACGTGGAATCCATCACAGAAGATCAAAGTCATCCAGCTTCTCACGGTAACGGAGAATGTTCCGCTTGATCTTACTGGAGTCGACCCAGGTCACGAAGTCCTCCATGTTACGAGTAACCAGGAAAGCCGGGTCATTGACAACCTCAGTACCAACACGGACGTGGCCTTGCTCGATGAAAGTGGCAGCCTGCAAAATAAATTAATAAGCATTCGCTCTCATCCGTTTCGAGGATTCATCGGGTACAGGGTAAACTCACAGCCTTGATAGTCTCAACCATACCAGAGCGCACCATGAAGACGGCCAAGCGTCTCCGGCAGAGCGCAGAGACTGTGACTTCACGCTCAACCTTGGACAATCCGGCGCCCTGCTCACGGGATTGCTTGAGGATTCCCATGCGCCACAATTTCTCCAGAAGCTCCGACTCGAGCTTCTTGCGCAGTGGGTCTGTTTCGGGATCAAGCTGGGAGAGCTTGTGGGCGAGCTGGCGTAGGGATCCGCAGAGTGCGTTGTATTTTTTGTAGTCCATCGGGTCTTGGAGGAGGTACCGTTGGCGCACCTGGTGTTCACGGTGGCCGCCATCGGACTTGTAGTTGTGGAAGTCGACCTTCCGGAGAAGCCTGCGGATGATCTTGTTAGTGCATTGTATCTTGTGGCACTGCGAAGCTTTCAAGGTGTGGGATGGGTCGGGTTGAAATTTTTGATGGATTTGGTGGATTTTGGGTAGAGACGTACTTCTTCTCGTGGTGCTTGAGTTCGCGGACCATTTTGGCGGTGGTATCAGCTTACTGATATCAGACCGGATTGAAGTAACGAGACTGACGTTGAGCTGGCAAAGACTGTCGTCCGTGAAGATCGTTGCGATAACAAAAAAATTGGTTATCAAAGCGGTGAGATTGTGATGGCAGGATCCACCGACAACAGCTCACCGCCCGCCCCAACCTCACGTACTCCACGGCAATCATTTCTTGGCTATCGACACTGAGCTTGTGTACAAGATGGAAACCCAGGAAGATGCTACGAGCAAGCAGTCTGGTCGCCCGAGGGTCGATTTGGAGCCCTATAAAGCCGAGGTCGTCGCCCTGCACGAGAAAAAGATGAAGGGTGACGACATTTGCAAGCACCTAAAGCGACAACATGATATCCAAATATCACCGCGAACCCTCACCAAGCGCCTACAGCATTGGGGAGTCAAGAAAAAGATGGAGAACTACTCATCAAACGAAACGCTCCACGCCCGCATCAAGAACCTCTTCTTCGACGTTGGTCTTGGCGATGCGGAGATCGCCACCGTTCTAAATGAGGAGGGCTACAATATCTCACTTCGTACGCTCCGAAGGCTCCGTCACCAGCTTGGAATCCGGCTACGTCTTGACTCACCAACCGGACAGCAGGAACAAGTCCAGGAAATCCTCGAAGCCTTGGTTGAAGAGATGGACAAGGGAACCATTGAAGGGTATGGCAAGGAACTACTGCACAACCATTTCCGCAGCAAGGGGTATGTCTTCGCTCGGGACCGTCTCTATAATGTCTATCGCATGTTGCGCCCGGACACCGTCGAACGCCGGACGAGCGATGTCCCACGGCGTGCTCCTCCGGCGAAGATTCTGGCAGGCCCTAACCTGACCTGGCATGTGAATAACTACTCAAAGCTGGCAAATTTCGGTTTCCGAATTCACGCCGAGATTGATTCGTTTTCTCGCTATGTTCTCTGGCTCAATGTTGGTGTTGGTGCTCACACTGCTGTGAGCGTCCTCAAGCATCATCTTGATACAGTATCTGCTAAAGGCCGTCAACCACGCACTCTCCGATCTGATCTAGAATCCGAAGTACCCCTTTTAGCAGAGGCCCACTTTAATCTACGCCGCGCCGCTGAACCAGATGTTCAGCGGGAGCAATGCTGCGCACCTGGGCGAGCCACAGACACCCATCGTATTGAATCCTGGTGGGCCCAGCTTGCCAAATCAGTAGTGACCCTCTTCTATGTAAGTCGAATTTCTCATACATGGTGTTTCCTGTACTAACCCACGTCGTAGAACTATTTCCGCCAACTCCACACTGAAGGACTGTTCTCAAGCTCAATATTAGCGGACCAAGTCTCTTTACTTGCAATCTACATGCCAATCCTCCGCAGTCATATAAACTCCTACGTCCAGACCTGGAACATACACAGCATCCGCAAACAAAAAGACCACCCAGAACGCGCCCCAGGAAAACCATACATGAATTACCACCACCCACCAAAAGGAGTAGAAAATTTCGGACTATCAGTCGACCAGGCCACCTTGCAACTACTCCAAGAAAGCTATAGGGAATTCAACGCGGAGGAATACCTTCCGCCGGATACGCTCCGGTGGTGTGTGGTGCAACTCCAAGAGCTGGATTTCGATCCTTATAGCCCACCTGCCCGATTGCCCGGGGACGTTCAGCCGTTCCGGTCTGTTTATCTTGCTCTGAGGGAGAGGGCATGGCGGCATGAAAGGTCCGGGGCGGAGCCAAAGTTGGCGCTTTGTGAGACTCCTGGTCAGGGGTTAGAGGGATATGCTCTTTCGCGGTAAATGTCCCATGAACTTAATGAATAAAAGGCTGCAGCGCGCGGGGTTTGCAACAAGGTGTTTCATTTTCAATTTAAGCATATTTAAGCATATTTAAGCATGATTAGCCTTCCTCTTTTGTTTTTACGTATTTTCCATTAACGGGGTCAATGTGTAAACGTTGAAGCTCAAAACTGGAATTCCATGCAAAAACTAATAAGTGTATCCGAAACTCAAAGGTATACACAGTCTCCCAAGTAATTGACAAACAAGATGCAGCAAATATCATGTCTCGTAGCATGGCATTAGGAACGTAAACAATGAATCATGAGAACAGTAAGAAAAAAACCGGTATTTAAGATAAACCAACAGAATGAAACAGCGAATTAAGAAGAGCCTTCGACCAGCCGTGTCCTCCCTGCAATCTTCTCACTTAAAGCTCTAATATTCTCCGCTCCCATGATATCTAAAAGAGAGACTTCAGCCTGAAGCTCCTTCGTAATCCACGAGCGGAACTCCATAGCCACGAGAGAGTCAATACTACCAAATCCAAATCGTTGGGCGTCAAGCTCAGAGGCAGGAATGGCAAGTAGAGAAGCAAGCCGAGAAACAATTCCGTCAGAAATTACAGTGACGACACTCTCGGTGCTAGAAGTTGCTCTCAAAAGAGCGGCAGTGCTGACAGTCTTATGCTCAGACGTTTCACTGGTTTTGGCCGTAGCTGTATTTCGGAAATGGGTGAACATGGAGTAGTTGAGGTATGTAGGCGCAGGCACGCCGTTCTGGCGACACATCTCTGCCGTTGGAAGGCCGAGGACAAGTTGAGATCGACCGGGTGAGTTATTGGTCGGCGTGTTGTCGTTTCGGGGATCAATGAGAAATTCCACGGCTGCGTGAACTTCATCTTCCCTAATGAGCTCGAACAATGGTGCTGTGTTCGTGCGAATCGTATCTCTGTTTTCGGCTACCCAGCCGACATTGGACACACTCCCCAGGTTAATACTAGACGCTTTCAAGCCTCGTGAGACTCGATGTGCAGCTAGTGCATCCTGAAAGGTATTTCCTGCTGCGTAGTTTGATTGTCCACGGTTACCGAAGATGCCTGCGACGGAGGATAACATCACGAAGAAGTCCATGTCGTTTGGCAGGGTCTTGTGTAGATTCCAGGAACCTTCGACTTTGGGTTTGATAGCGGCTTGCCAATCTTCGTAAGAAAGCCCTTCAAAGGCGCCGTCCTGGGGATTTGTTAGCTTTTGTATTGTATCAGACACGCATCGACCTACTCTTAATACCATGGAAGCTTGGATGCATCCTTTGATTGGAGGCAGATAGGAAAAGGTTCCTTCGGACAGTACTGTGAGGCTTTGAATATCTGAAACATCACAAGCAAGTGAATGGACTTTGCAGCCCATGTTGGTGAGATCAGTGATCATTTCCACTTTCTCCGGGCTTGATGCCGATGAACGTGATAGGAAAATTAGATTCCTTGCTCCGCGAGATACCATCCATCGTGCGAGGCTGCGACCTAAACCGCCATATCCGCCGGCAAGAACGTAGGACACATCTGACTCGAACTGATATGGTGTTGTTGGCTGCGGGACAACAGGAATCATGCTCGAGGGGTTCAGGGTGAAAACAATGCTACCGGCTTTGCCACTGCTTTGGGCTTGGATGCCTTCCTTGATTTGAGAAAAGTCCATGACAGTCACGGATTGGATCTCCTTGATCTTGCCCTCAGAATACAAGATAAGACTCTCTCTGAGTCGGTCTGAAAGAAGCGGAGTGAGATCCCCTCCTAGCTGAGCCATCAACGGTATGTTGACCCTATGTATGCTCGCACATCGGGGAATCGACGCCAGATCAATTGTGGTTTTGCCATTTTCATTTGAACCTGCAAACTCGAAAATCTTCCCAAATGGAGAAATGCATTTCAATGTCTCTTGAAGTGCCTCGCCGGATGGCGTGTTGAAACTGATCATGACTCCTTTGCCATTGGTGCATCGCATGACACCCTTGGAAAACATGAAATCTCGACTAGAGAAAATGTGGTGCTCCGGAATGCCATATTCAGAGACGATGAACATGCGTTCTTCAACAGTTGTAACACAGACATATACTTCGGCTTTAATAGCTAGTGCAACTTGAATGGCCGCTCGGCTGACGGGAGCCATACCATCATGGATCAAGATGGTGGGCCAGCTTCCTGCATAACAGCTAATCTCTGAGAGACTAAGTGCATAGTCTGTTGTCAGGAGCGCAACAGGCAGACTGGCCGCCGTTTCGAACGAGATGTTGCTGGGGATCTTGGTTACCAGTTTCTGACAGACTCGAATATGCGTTCGGAAGCAACCGTCTTTGTCGCCGGAGACACACACAACTCTATCACCTGGGCTTAGGCTTGTCACCCTGGACCCGACCTTCGTAACAAATCCGGCAGCTTCATTTGAAAGGCTGTTTGAAAGGCCAGGTGAACTGAGACCAACCGCTTGCGTGTAGATCTCGATCTGGGTGCCCCCCAACGGCGTTTCATGCTGCCGATCAGTAACCCAGACATAGTCACCAGTTCTAGAATCTGGCTCCTGTAACTGAATGGCTTGATCAATGTGACCAATTCGTTGAAGCTGGGGCCCCGATCGAGATGACTGGCTGGCAAGGAATTGATCCGCTGCGTCCCATTCCTTCAAGCGACCAATGTGAGTTATACCATCACGTAGAAGATATTCAGCATGGCGGTCATTCTCTGGCTCATCCACAAATTGCCGCTTTACAATCTTGCAAATGTCTCGATCCAGGTTTCCCGTTTGGCAATTGTTGTCGTCTCCCACAGTGAGGATAACTATGTTTGAACCGTCGGCGTCTCGCTCCCAACGCAACGATCGAAGAAGACCCAGGCTCATGCTTGAGTGCGGGCGAGATTGATGACCAGTTGTCACCCACAAAATGTTGTGACACTTAGTCAAGACCCCTTTTAAGACCTGGTATTCTGATTCACTCATATTGTCGAGGCAGTTGTAATTCAGATCAAGGAGTGAGACGCAGAGGGAATCTGTTCTGACATTATTTTGAATCGCTGATGGCTCCAGAATGAGAACATTGGTATATCCCATCTCCCGTAGAAGTCTAACCAGAGAGTCATCTATGCTCTCTGGGTATGAACCGCTCGTCAGGATGAATGCGTCACCAAGTGTCTTCTGTTGGGAAGCAGTGACAGCAGAAGAAACCAAAATACTCTG